TGAACTTGAGCAAAAAAAATCAATTATCTATGTATAGGATGCAAAAAACATAGCTAGACAACAGTCTCTTTTGTGTATTCTAGTGAACTTGCAGGTTCAATTATCAGCCAATAGTGTTAAGATGACAGCCAAAAGAACTAATGCTACTGAGTTGCACTAAGGCAGAGTATCTAAACGAGGTGATACTATTGCTGTGCTCTGCCCTTGTCAAACTGTATCTGAGTTGTTGTGGATGTCACATTTTAGGAAGGACTTTGACAATCTCATGTCCAGAAGAGACCTACTAGTATGCTTAGGGAACTTGAGACTATGTCATGTGAATATAGGTTAAAGGAAATGAGATGTATGGCCTAGAGAAGAAGACTTGGGGGAGAACAGGGACAACTAAGAGTAATAGAGGGAAATTGTAAAGAGGAATATTTAGGCTAGATGTAAGGAAAAATTTCCTCACAGAGCCACCCAAATGTGGAATAAGCTGTCTTGGGAGGTCACGGGTTCCCTTTCATTAAGACATCTTCAAGCAAAGGTTGGATTACTACTTGTTGGGAGTGCAGCTTTCCTGTTCAGAAACAGGTTGGACTAGATGGCCTCCAAGGGCCTTCCCTACCCTATGATTCTGTGAAAAACCAGGCAGTGGATACCTGCTAAGCAAGTCCTCCTGGGTAACAGTGTTAAATAAAAAACTAAGAACGTCCCCAAACAGACCCAGCTCTCCCTAGTTACCTATTAATAAGGTTATGTACTCCAAGGAATTTCCTTAGAATGTATTGAACTAGTTTCTGTTTTCAGCCTAGCCTATCTTTTGAAGAAATGTATGACAAAAGACACTATGGCCATGTCTATCTTGTTTAAGCCTAGTTCCTTTTGGGCTCTAAATACATAATCTTCTGCCTATCAGAATGTCTGAACAATTCAAAACCCCTTGCTCGGGAGTAAGAAATTTTGGCCTTCTTGTACCAATCCCAAATGGGAGGTGAAAACCAAGGATTGTAGAAGGTGAAAGGAGCTGACCCTGTCCCCTGGGAACAGCTACTTGTGACTGTGTATTAGAGTATGCAGGACTCTCTCTCCCCAACCTTCATTCTCTCATTTGAGATACAATGCCTGGGCAATAGTTCTGATGGAACAATCTAAGAGGTCTTCAGAAAGCCCCAACCTGTGCAAAAACATCCCAGAATTCTCTAACCATCTCTTCTATGCTTGAAATTTCCTTGAGATTAAAACCTTGTGTCTTCAGAAAAAGGTCCTTGTTAAAATGAAAATGCATGAAGCCACTACTGCCTTTGTGGGAACTAGTTGAAATTGCTCTAAAGTTTGAAAAAATGTCTATAAACATTTCATGATGACTCTCAATCTAAAGCTTCCCTTCTTCCATACTATGACGAAAGCATGGAAGAGATGGTTACAGAAGTGTCAAGACATATGTGTGGCTGATAGGTGACCAAAAAAAAAAAAAAAACTGGTGAAAAAGACTTTCAGGACCAAGAATGGTGCCACTGCTCCTTCCCGAGTCTGGCTGCTAAGTCTACTCAATGATATGCTGGTTGAAGCCAGAAGGTTTGCTGTTAATGATCAGACCTTTGGGTAAAAGCATCAGACTAGAGCAAACACCAATTGTCCTCAGTTCCACTTTGCACTAGATCTATGCTCCTATGCCCCCTCTTACAGGAGTATATCTCTGACCTGGCTGCTGGTGTCCCACCCATTCACACACAGTTTATATCTACAGAGAGAACTGCAGGTGAGAAGCACCGGGTCACCTACAATGACCTTAAGCAACTTATCTTTATGAGACTCAATTTCCACATCTGTAAAATGAGGGAAATGGAGATGATCATCTATAAGATGCTTTCTGACTCTTAAAATTCCATGACCCTCAGCCCTTCCATAGCACAGCACAACCCTTTGGACCTCTAAGACTTTAATGTATCTGGAATCTTTGTCTCCTCACTTTTGGGATCATTTCATCAACAGTGCAGATCACAATCTACCCATGCCTTCTTATTCTCTGCCATTCTTGTCCATGTCCTCTTGAAAATCCTCCAGGAGAGGTCTATCCAATGTGCTGGGGACCTCCCTCCACAACTCACAAAATTATCTAAGTACCAATGTTGTTATTGTCATTTGTCCTTAATTTTCAAAGAAGTCCAATGACATCATAGGGTGCTGTCTTGACTTGTGCTCGAACTGGATTTAAGTGAGGCAGAGTTGCGCAAAGTTGTCAGCCTCATTCTCTCTTCCAGACTCATCAAAGTTCAGTGACAACACAAAAGTCAGGACGACTGGTGATGGCCTGGGACGCAGCGGATGACCTTGGCATCTTCAATGTCTGACCAAGCTCTAAAGCAGGCCTGCACACCTTGTGGCCCATGGGCCACTTACAGACCTCGGGCCACTCTAAAGGCTCCACGGTGCCTACTTGAGCTACCTTCGTGGCCACCAAAACAAACTGTTCTTAGCCACCCATTCCTCAGGGGGAAGTCTTCACATGCTTGGGGTAGACACCCATCTGACTCACTGATGAGTCTGAGGCCTATTGGTTACCCTCAACTTGGTTTAGCCCATCTGCAAAGACAGTTTTACCAGGGTGTGGCCCCTGCGCATACTATAGTTTTTTTGAGCAACAGGTGAGAGCTGGGTGACAGGTGGATACCTAAGGTGGATGAGCATCCCTGAAAAGGACTTGGCAAGCCCTCACACCGGAAGTGCTAGTCCTCCCTGAACGCTCCTACTCTGAAAGTACCAGTACTGCCATTGGGGCATCCATCCAGTATCGGTCACTTTCACTACAAGGCTCAAACATTTTTTGGTCATACATCTTTACCTTATGTGCATCATTTTGCATATCATTTAAAACTGATAACTGTACAACATCACCACATGCTTCTCCATTGCTCTTTGGATCAATTTTGCAATTCTGATTCTTCAAAGATTTTGGTATCACATGATTTACAACATTATAGCATCACCAGAAGAATACTGACTATATTTTGATGTGTTTTTATTTCAGGGAGAATGCTTGGATCACTGAAAGCATTATGCAGTTTCCTAAATGTGAACACTCGTCCTCCTATTAAGTTATGGATCTAATTCATTGTCCATTTGCAATGTCTGCCCAAAGTAAATGTATTGGTAGATTAGCATCATGAACTAACTGTCCAACTATATATCATAGTCTGGATAATAGTCATTCTTCATCCACTTGGTTTTTCCTGTGTGGATAGTAGTTTGGGGTTTGATTTTAAACTCTGGTCTTATTAGTTGATGATTTGACAATTCAGAAATAACTGTCAAATCAATTGAACCAATTATTTCCAACCAACTGTCAAGATTTAGTCAATTTCATTTTGTTGTGATGTTGTTCACCAGGTCTTGCACCTCCCAACCATCTTATTTTTAAAAAATTATTAATATGCAAGAGTGAGACTTCAGTATAGTCTATGAACCCTTCCCCTTTTTAGTTTCCTGATTTTAAGACAAGTTTTACAACATTTTTTGCCGTCCCAACAGTATATTGACTCAAAGATCTTACAAGGATCTTACATTTAGAATACCAACAGTTAATTTATAAACAATATAAAAACAGTGTGACTTTTCTTTTTTTATTTTTTAAAATTAATTTATTTTGATTTATCAACAATCATTTCCATAAGCTTTTGAGTTTTTAATTTTTCTCCCCCTCTCTCCCCACGATGATAAGCAATCTGATACAGGCTATACATATACATTCCTATTAAACGTATTTTCACATTAGTCATGTTGTAAGGAAGAGTTAGAACCAAAAGAAGGAACCACAAGAAAGAGGTAACAAAATAAAACAGAAGAAAAAAAAAAGAGCAAACAGTATGCTTCGATCTGCATTCAAATTCCATTGTTCTTTCTCTGGATGTGGATAGCTTTTTCCATCATGAGACTTTTGGAGATGTCTTATATCCTTGCATTGCTGGGAAGAGCTTATAAGTCTATCAAGGTTAGTCATTGCACAATGTGGCTGTTACTGTGTACAACGTTCTCCTGGTTCTCCTCACTTCATTCAGCATCGGTCCATGTTTTTCCAGATTTTTCTGAAGTCCACCTGTTCATCATTTCTTATAGCATAATAGTATTCCATTACATTCATCTACCATAACTTGTTCAGACATTCCCCAACTGACAGGCATCCCCTCAATTTCCAATTCTTTGCCACCACAAAAAGAGCTGCTATCAATATTTTTGTACATGTGGGTCCTTTTCCCATTTGTATGATATATTTTGGAAACAGACCTAGAAGTGATATTGCTGGGTCAAAGGGTATACACACTTTTATAGCCCTTTGGGCATATTTCCAAATTGCTCTCCAAAATGGTTGGATCATTTCACAACTCCACCAACAACATATTAGTGTTCCAATTTTCCCACATCTTCTCCAACATTTATCATTTTCCTGTTTTGTCATGTTGGTCATTCTAATAGCTGTGATGTGGTACCTCAGAGTTGTTTTGACTTGCATTTCTCTAATCAATAGTGATTTAGAGCATTTTTTCATATGACTATAGATGGCTTTAATTTCTTCATCTGAGAACTGCCTGTTCATATCCTTTGACCATTTATCAATTGGGGAATGACTTGTATTCTTATAAATCTGACTTAATTCTCTATATATTTTAGAAATGAGGCCTTTATCAGAAATACCAGTTGTAAAAATTCTTTCACAGTTTTCTACTTCCCTCCTAATCTTGGTTGCATTGGCTTTGTTTGTGCAAAAACTTTTCAATTTAATGTAATCAAAATTATCCATTCTGCATTTCATAATGTTCTCTGTCTCCTGTTTGGCCATGAATTCTTCTGTTCTCCATATCTAACAGGTAAACTATTCCTTGTTCTCCCAGTTTGCTTATAGTATCAGCCTTTATATCTAAATCATGAACCCATTTTGATTTTATTTTGGCATATGGTATGAGATTCTGGTCTATGCCTAATTTCTGCCATACTCTTTTCCAGTTTTCCCAGCACTTTTTGTCAAATAGTGAGGTCTTATCTCAGAAGCTGGGGTCTCTGGGTTTATCAAATAGTAGATTACTACAGTCATTGACTAACAGTGTGACTTTTAGCACCCTCTGCCTGCTTTTTTAGGTACTCTGACACAATTGCTACAGAAGTGGAAGGGAGCCACTGAGGATTTGTTTCATGTCACAGCCATAGAATTCATCACACAGTGGCCAACCAACTAGTAAGGAGCCACTTGGAACTTAGGCTGATCCTCAAAACGTAAACACACCCTGTTGCTGAGATTATACTCAATATTTTTCTTGCATGCCAAACTCCATTGGAGCTTGTGCTCTACTGGCAAGCCTCTCAAAACCAAGGGTCACCTCCACACTACAAGAAAGCATCACAGGAGGACTTTTGTGGACTTTCTCTTATATATCTATCATGTTACTTTGTATTACATGACGGTTATTTGTCAATGTATCATATTTCCCTACTACAGCATACTTCCCGAAGACAGGGATTATTCCTTTTTTAATCTTGGTATGTCCTTAGTGTCCAGGACAGTGTTTTTCATGTAGAGGCAACTTAATGAATGAAAGGGACCTTAGTAATTGCCTGAGATCACATTGTTAGTGTCATAAATGGGTCTAGCATCCAAATCTCTCGATTCCTAGTCTAGTACTTGGTCTATTTTCTACAAAAAATTAAACTAATCTTGCATAAAACGGTCTGAAAATATGTAAAATGGCAGTCTGGTTTATAGTCCTAACTGCCACTGTTAAAGCAAAGAAAATTTGTTTAAGCTTGCACCAAAGTTTCAAGGTACTGAATGTGCTGAATTTGGAAGAACAACCATGAAAAGACTTACTTCTCCAATAATATAACTATTTATTACATAAAAATATTTGGCTTCAGGTGCTATCAAGGTGACATGAATATAATGATACTTAAGTAAATAAACATAACAATAATAAATTTAGTATACATCAGGAGTTTGGCTTTAAAATGGGGCTGGCTATAAACATATTAAAAGGTAAATGCTATTTAACTTAAAGGATATTGGTAATATTTCATAATTACTTCAGGATGCCTTCTGACAGGTCTATCACTGAAGAGGTCTGCATGTCCAAAGTGTTGGTATCATAGCCTAGTTTCTTCATGTCCTTCGTCACCACGTTCAACAAAAGGGTAACAAAGCCCTGGGAGCGAACCCTTGTAACTATAAGTGGGAGGAAACCACAGTATTAGCCTATAGAAAAATGGAAACTTTCAGAACATCACCCAGAGTGGAATCTCAAACCCTGCAGTCTCTAGAAAACCAGCTTAAGCCACAAATGCTGCCTGAAGACTATTTTCACATTTTTGGGTTGGCCAGCTGGATCCATGTTTATATAACTCTTTAAGCCATGAGCTGAACACAGCACTTTCATAGCTCAAGAGGCCAGAAATCAGACCTGAGAGATGCTTCATCATGGAAACAGCAATACCAATAACTCCCATTTGACCTCGAGAAAAAAATTTGATTCAATGAAAAATTCTGGTTCACAAACAAGATTCAAACCCTACAATTCATATCAAGAATGTAATGAACCAGATTTCTGGCTTCTATTATTTCTGGCTTCAAAAAGAGTTGACATCTAGGTTATAAGCTTCTTTGAGGACAGGAATTTTGTCTTATTCAGAGCCTGGCTTAGCAGACACTCACTAAAAAAATTACTAATCACTGAATAAACTAAATGAATGATATAAGTAATGGTTCCTTGAAGACCATCTTAAAAAGTGAACATGACCCTTGAAGTTTTGTGTGGGATGAGAACCAGAATTAAATTATTTCTTTTCTTCATTTATTAGGGATAGCCAGAAGTCCACAGATAAGCTATTTTCTTGACTAATATTGCAAATTCCTTTCTGCAGTATCCTTTCATTTGAACCATGTACAGTTGCCATCTTTGCTCTGGGATCTATGCCCTGACCCTGACTCGGTAATACAAAGATCACAGGCCTCTCCAGTCTAGACTTCTCTTCAAGATCTGTGAAATGGCCAGCATGTTATGAGGAGGCAGAGTGCTGAACAGTCACCCAGTCCATGGTCTTTCTAGTCCTGCCTGGTCCTTAGATTTGGCCTTATTACTCTGCTAAAAAATGCTGCTGGGCTCATAATGGCTCCTACTATGCATTTCTGGTTTTCCAGAAACCTTATGGAATGTAAAATTTATTCAACCAACAGCAAAGCATCTCACCACACAAAAAGGTTTTTAAAACATCCATCCAACAAATGGTGGGCCCCAAAGCATCTCACTAACAGTGTTAATTTTCAGTAGACGGTGGGGAAAAAAGGAGAAAAAACAATAAAGCTCCTTCCTTCCCAGCACTAATGGCAGTTTCTCAAAATGTCAGACTATCTTGTATTCGCTCCCTACTAAATATTGTACTTAGTGTACTTTCTCATAAAAGAGTTACATATTTTTATGGTTTCCATTTACTGTCCCTAAGCATTTAAAAGGGACAGGGGAATATGACGATTACAAAATTATGGATGCCTCTGCCTAAAAGACCATTACTTTCCAGGTCTCTCCCCAAGCCTGCCGAGTCTGAGTTTTATTAAAGTACAGAAGAACTTTCAGGGAGGAATTCAGAGGAAGAATGGGCTGGAAAAGCATTTCTAGGGAGGGAGAAGGGGGAGAGGTATGGTATTCTTCCTCTGAGTTCTGCCTCATCAGGAATATTTACTGATTGGATCTGCCCTAAAGGAAATAATTCACATGATGATTCTAACTTTCCTCTTTTCCCTTAATTCCAATTGGTTTAATGATTCCTGGTAATGTGATTCAATTGTTTTTTTTTTTAAATCTTGGCCAATTCAATTATTCATATTGCAGAGGCTATACAGCACACAGACGAGCCTCTTAACCCTTCCCTGCCTACGTCCTCTCTATTTGTAAAATAGGAAGACAAATGTCCACTGGTCTGAAAAGCATTTTTAAAAGTTATTTTGATATTCTAAATAACCCTTCTGGAACTTTCCTTCAGTCTATGGAAAAAAGAAGTAGCTTTTTATCAGCTGCTAATGATAAGTATTTTCTGGTTTATGGCAGAGCCCAAAGCAGAAGAAAGAAGAGAGGAAGGAAACAAGCATTTATTAAATATCTATTGTGTGCCAGGCACTGTGCTTAGCACTTTAAAAATATCATCTCATTTGATCCTCACCATAACCTTGGGAGATAGGTGCTATTATGATTCCCATTTTAGAGCTGAGGAAAATAAGGTAAATAGATTTGACAAGGTCATATGGCTAGTAAGTGTCTGAGGTCATATTTGAACTCATGTTTTGCTAATTCTAGGCCCAGTGCTCTATTCACTGTCACCTAGTTGACTCTAGAGGCAGATGAGACTTGAAACATAGAGACCCTTAAAGGAAGAGTAAAGTTTTAGGGCAGTTTTAAAATTCTATAAAGTTAACTTCGTATGGTCAATTTATTTCCTAATTTATAAGTTACATAACAGCAAATTTTAATGTCCTGGTTTGCTGTATAATGTAATTGTTTTGGGGCTAAAAATTACTTTGAAAGATGTTAAATTAATTCCTGTTGTTCAGTGGAAAATTCATACACTTTCCCTAAAGACTTAAACCAAAGCCCCCAAACACTCTTTGAATGTCAGGTATAACTCCAACATAATTTCATTTAAAATAATTACTTTGTTCTGTAGATAGAACATTCTACTGCCTAACCATAATGAGTAAAAATGGTTTCTAAAGAAATTTAGGCCGTTCATATATACTTAGAAAAACAATGCTATATCCAGAGTGGGCATTTAGCCTATTATAATGAATGAACTGCCACCTACAAATAACTTGTTTGCTGTTTAAAATAATAAAGTATCTTCCTCCAATAAACTTCAAAACATATAGCAAAGTGAAAAAGGAAGTGATATTCTGACTGAATCAATGATTATTCACCTTAAAAAGTAATTGCTACTTTGAAACCATCTTTAAATAGTTGCTGAGACAGTTTCTCATTTTCCTTATCATTTGGTATTGGAAAAAATAAATGGGTGTCCACCTGAAAGCAGGAATGGTAACAGGTGGGGTTCTAAGTGATAGACAATGGGGAAAAATGCTGTTGAGAGGGGATTGATGGAACTAGACAAAAGGAAAAGGGTACTGCTTTAATTTTACAGCAGTCACATGGCACCTAAAGACTGAAGAAACTTAGGAGATTTGTTTTTGTCTTGTCTGAGACACTGCAAAAAGAGCTTCAGAAAGCTACGAAGAAAGGCAGGAAGCTGAAGAGGGGACAGCTACATTCCCTATACCATCATCCCCATTGAGAATTTTTAATCAGATGATCTAGGTTCAAACCCTAGTTTTACTCCTTACCATCTTTATCCTTAAGTTCAGTTTCCTTATCAACAAAATGGAATTGGACTATATAATCTTTAAGATCCCTTCTAAGCCCTAAATCTACCCTCATATTTGGGACTATGATTCTGCTCTACATATATGTCTAGGCCTAATTCAAGGATCGTGGCTTGGTTTTCCTTCTCTAAAAACTTCTCTGTAATAACACAGACTATATGCTTGCAAGTGCAGAGTCAGTCTTCCTGGAGTGAGAAGAACTTGCATACATTTCTCCCCAAGTTTCCTGGGTAGAAGCTACGAGCCAAGAGAGGTGAGAACAGCTCACAAAATATAACCCTTCTGTCAGACTCTTATGACATAAAAGGCACAAGTACATGTCAGGGGATTTTCTCACTATCTTGGATATTAGACTTATTCACTGCCTTCTCAAAGCTCAGTCTATGTCTGATGCCAAAAACATCTTTTGTCCAAACTATGTTCATTCTCTTAGATGATTTTTCCATTCAGATCTCTTTGGAGACATGTAACCTGGCATACTTGTTATTCTGATGCTTTATTTGAGTGATCTGCAATTTCATCTGGGTAGGTACTAAATCCACTAATATAGATCATAATCCCTCTGTGTTTTGTGAGTTGTTGTGACCAAAGTTGCAATTTTTTGGTGATAAGGCTCTCTTCACTTAGCCAAACTGGTCTTTAGGTAATAAATAATCATTGGTATGCCCATACTTAATGAGATTTCTATAGTATCTTTTAGTTACCCATTAGCAAATATTATATTTATATACTCAAATTCATTCATTAAACACTTACTGTGTACATGTGGAATGAAATCTGAGTTTAGTATAAGCAAACTTGTTAATTTTGTTTGTTACAGAAACTAAACTTTACCTTCTCTTCCTTCTCCCTGAGCTACTAGCTTGGGGTCTGTGTATTCAGGCCTTCGTCCCATGAACCAGCTAGGAAAAGAAAGGAATAAAAGAAGTAAAATGACTCATTAAACACACACACTTAAGTCTTACATTCTGAAGTAATGAAATTTCCTTATAATGAATGTGGTATGTACTTCCTGATTTAAAACAAACAAAAAAACTGTGTCTTCTTAAAAAGTGTCCAGAGGAAAATTAAAGCTAGTATGAGTGAAATGAGAGGCAGCATGTAATGGCTGACAGAGAGCCAGTCTTAGGACCAGGAAGACCTCTGACCCATCTGACTGTGTGACACAGAACAACTCATATAACCTCTCTGTGCCACAGGTCCCTCTCAAAGGCTCTATACTTTGAGAAGGTGCTAGCCTGCCCAAGTGCAGGGAGTAGTCTAGAGTTCTCTCTGCCAATGAAATCACAGTTTTAGGCCTGAGCCCGACATATAAATAAAATAACTTCTTCCGGTCAAACCTTTAAAGTCTCTTCTGGAATAGCACATTTACAGTTATAAATCTTCCCCTGTAATCGTCTAACAAATTGTTTTTCCAAACAAGCTGCCACTCTATTGTGAAGGTAGGGGTGTGTGTGTGTGTGTGTATGTGTGTGTGTGTATTTTAAAGCAAAGCAATGTTCAATAATTCTTTAAGAATATTTACTAGAGCAGAGAGGACTTTGGAGTGGCCTTAGCCTGATCTCTAGTGGAAATTCCGGAAATTGAAGAATTTAGGTAAGAGGAAAGGAAGAGGGTTTTAATGGTGTGTGTTTCAATGAGAATTCCCAAATTCTAATGACATCTCCTTTGAGGCAAAATAGTTCTCTGTGATGGCTTCTCCTTCTTATATTCCAGCTCAAGATTCTGCAGAGTTCTAGAAGGGAAAAAGTCCAACAAGAATTCAACTCTCTGGATTATCCAAAAAGTGAGAATTGCTCCAGAGTAAATCTTGATTTAAGTTTAAATAAAGCTGTAAGTTTTGCAACATCATGTGCTTTGTGGACACTCTTCTATGAATGGCTTTACATGCACCTTCTAGCACCACTGGAAGACCCAGGCTGCCTCCACTACCTCCCTAGCTTAATTAGGGAGCAATGAAACAGGGGTAGGATGGAGAAACTATCTAGTTTCCTGGACCCTCCTGAATGAACCATGGCTTTAGCATTTTGTTTGAAGTGAATACCCAAAACATCAGACACAACTAAATTCAAATACACATTTCAAACTCCAAAAATACCTGATTATTTTGATTATATACCATTTTAGATATACCATACTTCTGACTCCCTTTAGTGTGAATAACCAAGGATGACTCCAAAGGATTTTCTAATACCAAAACAGGCCATTGCTATTTCTACAATGACAAAGGGAAACACGCTATTTGGAGGAAGTAAACCTGGAGTGAAAAAAACAAAACAAAACACTTTTTGCCAATTCAAAGCAACTTTGAAAGATTATCCACCAGAGCAGGATAGGAAGCATCACTGAAATTCAATAAACATTCATGGAGTGTCTATTATGTGAAAAGCATAGTATTACATTCCAAGGAAGGTACAAAATTGAAGGAGATACATTCTTTACCAACCCTTAAAAAGCTTAAAATCTAGTGAAAGAAACAAGCAAGTACAAAAATAATTTCAATTTAAGGTAGAAAAATTCAAGAAAAAAGTGCCACAGAAGAAGTGTAGAGGGTTCTAAAAAAGAAAAAGAGGAAGGGTGGGCCGACTCTGTGTAGAAGATGGAGACAAGAGAAGACTTCACAGAGGATGAAATGGGCTTTGAAAGATAGGGAGGCATTCAACAGGTACTGCAGAGGGTTTGAAAGGGCATTCTCAGCAGAGAATCCTGGCCATCATGAACAATGCTTAGGGACAAAAAATAGTCCAATTTAGTTAGAATTTGGGATACATAGAGAGGAGTAGCGGTAGATAAGTCTGGAAAGGCAGATTGGGGTCACAGAGAGCTTAAAATGCTAGACAAAGGAAAAGTCTGGGATTTTATTCTGAAGCTAACAGGGGAACAACTACAGGTTTGTTTTATTTTGGAGGAAAGATGATGTAATCAGAAATGCACATAAGGAAAATTACTCTGGCAGCATCGAGGGAAGAAACTAAATATAGCAGAGACAAGAGGAAGGAACTGCTATTGTAATGGTAGGAGTGGAAATGAAAGAAAAGGGCAGATGAGAGAAATACTGTAGAGGTAGAACTGATAGGTCTTGGTAACTAAATCAGGATGGGAGCAGTAAAGGAGAGAAAAAGAGTCAAAGATAACTTGGAGGTTTGTTAAAATTAATTCGGTGATTACCTTCTGTATGGAACTGCTTACATAAAGTTCTGGAGTTGGAATCAGTAAGAGTTTGGTTCAAATCCTGTCTCAGACAAATAGCTGTGTAAACTTGGGCAACTCAGTTCATCTCTCTGAGTCTCAGTTTCCTTATCTGTAAGACTGGAATAATAATAGCAACCGACTTCAGAAAAACCTGGAAAGACTTGTATGGTCTACTGCTGAGTGAAGTGAGCAGAACCAAGAGAACATTGTACACAGTAACAGCCACATTGTGCAATGGCTAATATTGATAATCTTAACCCTTCTCAGCAATACAAGGATCTAAGACATCTCCAGAGGCCTCGTGATGGAAAATGCTATCCACATCCAAAGAAAGAACTATGGAGTTTGTCATGGTGAGGACAAAAACAGGATTGGGGGTTGCAAGACAGGTGAAATGACAACAGATTGTGATTAGTTAAGGGAATTTCAGAATTCATAAACAAGGAAGTAGAACAGTTGTGGGTGATGGCAAATGCAAGGGTATGACCATTTTTGTGTGTAACTGAGATGGAATAGAACAGTAGGTCATTGGAAATTAGTAAGTTGAGGAACAAAGAGGTTAGAGTATATAAAAAAAGGTGGAGTTACACATAACAAAGCACTAATTACTAAATGACATTAGTTAAAAAAAAAAAGAAAGAAAGAAAAATTCATCAGTGGAACAGATTATATACACAATATAGAAAAGCAAGCAAACAAAATAACACGGTATTCAGTAAATTCAAAGATTCCAGCCACTGGAATAAGCACTTACCATTCAATAAAAACTGCTAGGAAAACTGTAAAGCAGCCTGGCAGAAATGATATTTAGATCAATATCTTTCACCATATACCACAGTAAACTCCAAATGGATATAAGACATATATATAAGATATAAAAGATCACATCACAAACAAATTAGAGGATAAAGGAAGAAATATTCTTTAGAATTATGGACGGGGGAAAAGTTCATGACTACACAAGGGGTATAGAAAGGGTCATAGATGAAAAAATGGACAATTTTGATTTTATAAAATTGAAAAAGTTTTTACACAAACAAAATCAATGCTGTTAAAATTAGAAGCAATACAGCTAACTAGAAAAAAAATCTTTGCAACAAGTTTCTCTGATACAGTTTAATGGTCAAGATGTAAAGAGAACTGACTAAATATATATAAGAATAGTCATTCCCCAATAGATAAATGGTCACAGAATATGAATAGAAAATTTTCAAACGAAAAAATCCAAGCTATCACCAGCTATAATAAAAATGCTCCAAATCACCAATAATTAATAAAATGCAAATTAAAAGTACTTTAAGAATCCACTTCACACCTGTCACATTGGCAAAGATGGCAAAAAAGGGAAAATGAACTGTTGATGGGGCTTCTAGAAGACAGGTACACTGTTCATAAAACTGAATTGGTGAGGCCTTCTGGAAAGCAATTTGGAACTATTACCAAAAAGTCACTAAACTCTCCATATCCTTTGATTCAGCAATACCACTACAAAGAAATCAAAGAAGGAGGAAAAGGACACATATGCACAAAAATATGTATAGCAGCAATTTTGATGAAGCAAAGAACTGGAAACAAAGGAGGTACTCATTAACTAGGGAATGACTGAACTAACTGTGGTAATATAAACGTAATGGGGTATTACTGTACCATAAGAAATGATGAAAGGGACAATTTCAAACCTAGGAAGAATTATGTGAATTGATGCAAAGTGAAGTAAGCAAAAATAAGAAAACAATTTATATAGTACCAACTAGCAATAATATTGCCCCCAAAAGATTAAGAAAAATGATTCACTGAAGCATTTTTTAAAATTCAAATAATTAAGAAATTCAAAAAAAATATGGACAAGTAGGATAGCTCTGAAAGTAACATTGAATTTATTATATACTTCTAAAAAAATATAGTAGAGATTCACACTTTCACATATCCTTTTTTTCTGCTATATTTTATATATGGAATTTTCTATCTTTGTTTTCCTGGTGTTAAGTACAGAATAGAATATACACATATAAAGACTGAACACCAGATAATACATATTATATAGGAAGACGTGATCATTGTAAACTTTACATAGTGTGATGTTATAATTATAGTTTGAAGTTATAGTTATAATGATAGGACTCAATAAGGAGTCATTTATGCTATGTGGCTCTAATGCCCACAGAAGCATATAGGCAAAATAGACAGTTTGCATTTTTCCACTGTTAATTGGTGTCAGAAGATAAGGTTTGCAGCTTAGTGAGTGGATGAATTCATTTTGAGTCACTCTCCTTCTGCTACCTTAGATAGTTAATGTTAGATCCTTCTACCAGTTTGTGATCCCAGTAAAGAAATTCCCTCTACCTATAATCAATAATGGACCCCAAGAACTTTTTTTTTTAACCACATCTGGGTATGTTTAGGAATGCCCCCTACTACACCTGGCAGCAATTACCTATTCTTAACCAAGCCCATTCTTAGGATATATAATTTTGTCACCTGAACCCCAATTTTGAGAGTGTTTTCTCCCTGACCCACCTCCTCTAATGTGGGGTGAGTTTCTTGAATCTGTGGGAACAAATCTGTTTATATTCCCATAGAGTGTGTGTGTGTATGTGTGTGTGTATGCTTTGTTTGCCTGTTTATTGCACTACATAATAATAAAACTTGTGACTGTTAATATTTTCCCTAACAATTTTCTAGAAATTCCCAAAATCAGGTATTTCCTTTA